GTTGGCGTGCACGCGGTGAGCACACACCTGGTTGGAATGGACATGAGCAACACATCTCAAAGAACAACAGTTACGAGAAAGTGAGTAACCGTTTTTTACTGCACAGGTGAGTAACCGCCTCTTCTTTGTTCCTGGAAGTATACACGTTTCCATTTAGCCGTATTAAAATATGTATTGTTTGCTTCTGCCCAGTTTACCAAGCGGTCTAGATTGCTCTGTATCAGTGACCAATCCTCTTTGTTATTTACCACTCCTCCTGTTGTTGTTGTCATGATTTTAACATGTTTCATGCTGCATTTTTTTTAACGAGTTTTCTTACCCTGGCTAAATGATATTTTTAAAACTTTCATAATGAGTGCTGGTTAGAACCTAAAGAAATCTCGGCACAGGACTGTGAAATCCCTTAAAACATTATTTTTACCTCTTTTTACCTTGAAATAGTATTAAATATTCAACAGTGTCATTTGATGACAAATGTGATATACTTAACCAAGGTTTTATGCTGAATTCATAGCCTTTGTTTAGTCCTTGCTAATTATAGGTAACTTAGACTCAAAGTATTGTCAAACTATTGCCAAACTCTTCCTTTTTTTTAAATTCACCAGAATGAATGAGTTGGACTTAAGCAGACTTAACATAGCATTTTGCTAGTGCAAGAGAATCATTTAGTTGGGGAGGAAAAATGGATGCTAATCTGTTTTCATTGTCTAAGCTTGATGATGTTCAAAATGTGAAATGCACAAATAACGCTGGATTTTTTAAAATTCAGTTTTAATAATTCAGGTGTTACATAGATAAGATTTTGACTTCTTAAAGTCACTTTAAACCATCATTTGAAACATATATTGAAAAACCTTATGTACACCAGCACACCTATACTTCATATTCCACGTTGCTTGGTTGTAACACCACTGTTGCTTGAGCATTTGTCTTCAAGGTTTATTAATTATGATAGTGTTTTAATGTCTGTCATAAAATTAATATTTAATCTAACTTTATAACTTTTGCATTTTAAAAATAAAAATGGTATTTCAAGGTGAACTGCCCAGTTTTTTTTTAAACCCTTCTTATATAGTAATATGTACTAGATACCTCCCATATACTCTGGAGGAATTCAGCATGTATTAAAGAAATTTTAGGATTGGTTATACAGGTCACCGTGAAAGTTTTCCATTCTGTTTCTGCTCTGAGCATTTCTGGCCTTTCCTTTCCATTCCCAATTGAAGATAGATTTCTTGACCACCCCTTCTAGCTGTTCTTGCTTTCTTTGCACTCTGTCTTCTAGCCAGAAAGTTGAAATGTATAGTTTCTATTAACTGTTCTCAGTTACATTAGCTGGCAAATGCTGTAGAAGTACCTGCACTAACCCCCCTGCCCACAAGATAAAGACTTAAACTGTTTCCACTGTCCAAAAGTGTCAGGTGAACAGGTGTCCAAAAGTTGCTTACAACTTCAGGGTGACCTATATAGTACTCAGCCAATCTTTAATATGAAAACAGGGAGAGTCTTAGCATATCCTTCCATACATATTGTTTGAATAATGTATAATTCACTTAGGCATTATAGTGCAATGTGCTGTCCCAAAAGATAATTCCCGTATTTTCGGTTGTCACATAATTTTAATTTAAAAACTAAAATATTGAACCCAAATATTAACATGGCAGCTTTTCCTCAGAAATGGCGGATTTAAGTCTCATCTCCTGACATTTGGATAAAATAAATTCTAACAACACTTAAAAGTTAAGCTGTAAACTTTTTTTAATGGGGGGAAAAATCTGTTTGACAACTTGTGACCTTGTAGGCTAGGCTAAAATGCCACTTCTTAGATTGTAGAAGACAGTTGGCCTGTATTAGATGTCTCAAAACTGAGAAAACTCTCTGGCTCAACCCTTTCCTGCTAGTGTTCTGTACTCTAGTGAATGTCAAATATTTGGCTTGTTATTGCAGTATGTAAGTTGGCATCTAGCTGTGTTTTTGCTAAATACTGTACTTGCAGCAGAGCTGTCTATTTTTCAAACATCTATTATCCTTTCACCATCCTCATGAAATATACAATATTTGTAAAATTTATCGAGAATGCTTGCCAGATTTGCTGGATGACCTAGCTTACTATTCTCTCCTGCTTCTATGAGCCTATTTCTCTTCAGTTAACATACTTTTAATCAAAGGTCAGCTTAAATATGAGCAAACTTCTTTTGCATGGACTCTCTGATCAGCATGAGGAATTGCATAAGAATTCCTTTTGGGGTTCGCTCACTTTGGATTGCAGATTTTTATGTTCATGCCTCAAAATATTTAACCTAGTATCTCTTAACATCCCTCGTATTGATGGATTAAAAATGGTGAAATGAGCAAGTATCAAGGAAAATGCGTACCAGTTGGATCAGAATCAAGTAATGAAGGGTAGAACTGTAGAATGGCAAATGCAAGAAGACTTGAAAGATGCGACATGACCATCCAACTGGATGCCAATGAAACAAGTTAATATGAATTCATCGTAATTAAATCATATGGAAAAAAAAGATGATGCATTACATAATCAGTACAGTAAACTGTTTTAAGATCTGTTTGGAACAGGGTTAAAGTGGCCAGGAAAAGCTTTCTTCTGTCTAGTGTGACGTTAACAGATTATTACCAGATGCATATTGTGCACTCACCTCTCTACTCTTTTGCCTGACTCTGAATCCTTATACACCGCTACCTCGATATAACGCGACCCAATATAACACGAATTCAGATATAACACGGTAAAGCAGTGCTCCGGGGAGGGGGACTGCACACTATGGTGGATTAAAGCAAGTTCAATATAACGCGGTTTCACCAATAACATGGTAAGATTTTTTTGGCTCCCGAAGACAGCGTTATATCGAGGTAGAGGTGTACTCAAAGAACTGTTATGCCACTTGCAAAGGCTAGTAGCATAATTTTCCCCACTGTACTGAATCTCTTCCCCACGGGAGGGCAGGGATCCACATTCCTTAAACATTCTAGACTATTAGAATAATGGAGAAGATTGAACCTCTTGAAATGCGATGTAGTATAAACATAACTTCAGAGAACTTGCGCTTAAGTGATAAACTTTATTTACAGGATGATTGAGCTTTCTGTTATGAAAGCTCAGTGGGGCTGTCAGAAACCATATTGAATCAATTATGTTTCTTGGGGTCTTCAGATTATTGTAATTTTACATCCTGAACACCTGGCCCACTCAAAGGTACAGTACTTAACTTGCAAACTAGAGAATAAAAAGCTCAGGATGTTTAATCATAGCAAAAAAGAGCATCACTTTATTATCTGACAGCTTCAAAAAGCATTCTGTAACCTATCTGAATAGGATGGAAACCTAAAATTATTAAACTAACTTACACTTGGAATCAGAGTTTCTATCAGTAATGATCTGAGAAGATTGTTAATTTGTGGTTGAGATTTAATTGAGACAAACTTTGTCTGTCTGGGCATGCTATATTTTGCTGTTTCTAGTCACATGCCTCAAGGCCTACTTTGGAATTGGATTTGCAGTTGTAAATTGAGCTAGGCTGGCAGAAGCACTCCTATGCTAGTATAAACTGTGTCTACAGTAGGAGGGTTTGCTGGTATAGCTATGCCAGCAAAAGTTTTCTAGGGTAGAAACGGCCTTAAACAACCTTCAGGTCCAGGTCTATGGTCTTGGACAAAGTCAATTACACAAATGTATTTCTACTCAGAGCTGTTTGTCTAGTCTGCAAGACTTTCTTACCCCTCCTTTGGGACAGCAAGATCCCAACAGAGACAACATGATGGTGATGCATTATATAAACAGAGGGGTGCACGATATTCCCCCCCTTATATCATGAACCAGTTTATTTTGTGAGAGTGGTGCATTCTTCATTAAATCAACCCAATAGCTCTTTATTTCACCTGAGATTTTAATCTGCTGCTGCTGTTTTTAATGGACCCTTCTTTTGAATCTTTCATCATATTTGCTATATTATTTCTCTGTAAGCAACATTTTTAGTGGCTATCACTTTAGCTCACAATGAATGAAAAACAGGCTTTGGTGATGGCCCCCTCCCCCGATATGCTGTATTCCATAAGGACAGAGTTATAATTAGGCTGTACCTGTAGCTTTTACGAAAGAAATTCAGATTATCATTTAAGTTAGTTTATACATCTGCGAGCATTTTTCCCAAGCTGCCTGACTCTCCCACAGAAACTAAGTTTTATACACATAAATAAGAGGACAAGGCTCTAATAACATTATTTAAAACAGTCATGCTGAAACTCTTGCAGGCTTGTGGTAGCTTTTGCTAATAAATCCAAGGAATGATCTGTTGCCACCTAGACGCTCTCAAATTAGGTTTCAGTTTGTATTTAAGTTTCTTACATTTTGAGCAAAGTAATCCTCCCTTTTCAAGCTAGTGCAGGTACTCCTATGGCTCATCTTAGGAGAATTTCTATTTCTGAGAAGTAGAGCAGTTACTTAGAGTTTTGCTCATATATTTACCAATCACTACTCCATTGTAGGATCTTCTAGATCAAATTAGGCAGGTCTGTCTTATTGTTTTTTAGATAGGAGTCTTATCACCCAGCTCCTTGGGTTAACTGCTGGCCAGTCACTAATAGCGGTATGCAGGTGGACAAATGCTTGCAGAGGTAACCTAACTTACAGTAAGTGGAGCGGTTTAGAGATGCTTTTGTCCATGTGGATACTCTGACCCACCCTCCTTCCCCACTTGTAACTGAGTCTTCTACCTGGATGCCTATATTACTGAAGGAAATGAGTGGAGGTTGAGGATGCTCAGTGCTTCATGCCCACTCATGGTTAAAAGATTCTGGGCTCATGTATGTGAAGTGTATGCATTACAGTAAGATCCAAGTGGACATAATTATCTCAAACTCTAGTTACTAGAAGGCATGTGACTTTATCCATCCCATGGCACATCAGTACATGGATTGAACCTGTTAGATTATGTGAAATGTCATAACTGTTGTGATGATTCTTGTTTTATCTGCATTTTTAGGTAATATTCAGGTATCTTGGATTGATGATACATCAGCATTTGTGTCACTTAGCCAGCCAGAACAAGTACAAATAGGTAAGTGTTACTGGAATCACCTCATTGTAAGGTTTGCCTGTTGGCACAATAAACAGACATTGAAAGGGTTGCTACTGTCTCTTCTAAAATTCCTCAGTCCATAATTTCCTTCTAGCTGGAAAAAAGTAGGAATTTCATTTGCCACTATGTTTCTCTTAATAAGCCGCTGTCACTTTGTATCAACCATTTCTCTTTATGTATGAGTACCATTGACATAACAGCAGTACAAACAGGTATGGGAATTTTGTTGAGCTATTAGAGCCAGTTGAGTTAGACAGGGATTCAGAACTAATTTGTTCTCCTGCCCAGATTGCTTCCTGAGCATCATAAAAGAAGCCAGCAGAATGGGTAGGTTCCAAGGGGCAAAGAACTGTGAAGTCAAGCAGTATTATGCAGAGGATAACCAGGATGTTGTAGCCCCAATGCATGTGTTGGGTTTATAGGCTTCACTGCAACTAGTTGAGTAGTTCTTGTAGTAAAACATACTGAAACTCCATGTTTTCCCTATCCACATTGCTACCTGCATATTCTAGAACTGGAAGGGACCTTGAGAGGTCATCTAGTCCAGTCCCCTGCACTTGTGGCAGGACTAATTATCTAGACGATTCCTGACAGGTGTTTGTCTAACCTGCTCTTAATAATCTCCAACGATGGAGATACCACAACCTCCCTAGACAATTTATTCCAGTGCTTAACCACCCTAACAGTTAGAAAGTTTTTCCTAAAGTCCAACCTAAACCTCCCTTGCTGCAATTTAAGACCATTGCTTCTTATCCTATTCTCAGAGGTTAAGAAGAACAATTTTTCTTCCTCCTCCTTGTAACAACCTTTTAGATACTTCAAAAATTGCTATTTTGTCCCTTGTCGTATTTTCCAGACTAAACAAACCCAATTCCCTGGCTCCCAGTTTCTTTTCTCCTCCTCTTTCTCTTCTCTTCCTCACTAAGCCTACCAAATGGTAGTCTCTGTAGAGCAAAATTGTGAAGGTTTTCACTAGCTGTCTGTGTCCCCAGTTACCTTAAGGTGTGACATATCTGCTTAGATTTGTTTCATGATCTATCAAAGGCATCAGCAGTACAGAGTACCCTTCTGTCTTTATTGTAGAAGAGGACTAAATCATTTTAGGAAAGATGAAAATTAGTTTTTACTTAATTTGGGCTGCCAATGTTTGAACATTCACATGCTTAAAACATGATTCTGTCTGTGTTCTATCTCTACTTGAGTGCTTGTGTAAAGTCCATTTTCTAGCGTGAGCATCTTAAGTTTCCTTAGCTCTCGCTTATCGTACTAAATACTTAGTGAGCTTTGCCAAGTGGCTCACTATTGCTGACTTTCCTTGGTGCCAAAGAGTTGATTGGCTTATTACCAAAACCAAGTTTTGCAAAGGCTTTTTCGCATCAGTAGCTTGTTCAAGAAAACATCAAATGATCTTAAAGCAAGAACACAAAGGCTGTGTACAGCTGAATAGGCAGAAATATGCCTAAATACTTCAGATGGCAAACTTCATTCACTTTAAATCAAATTCAGGTATTAAATCTAACTTTCTCTAATAGTATAACTGTATTATGGTAGTTGGTTGAGATATTACAAACAGAATACTTTATTGTGTTATGCAATTTGTAGCATTGTTCTGAAATGCTATGTGACAGTCATAGCCTAATATCATGGGTTGTTTTCCCTTTTGACAATCATTCAGGGAACTCGCCAACTCACCTGTGGAGTAAATCCATGGAGTCTAGTGAAAGAGATGAGGGGAGGTATCCGTGGTCACAAATCTCCAAACAGTTGAGTTGTTGAATGCATTTTTCTCTGAGTAGTTATTGATTCTGACACAGAAAATAGAAAACAGACTCCTAATCCTATTGGACAGAATACTTTGTATTAATGTTTAAACATTGTAACCTTACTTAATCCTCATGCCAATTTCATAGTGATAAGTAGTCAATGACCTTCTTTAAAACACTGACCTCTAGACACACACACATGGCCCCAATAGGGAAATTACTGCTCACTATGAGAAGTGGAATGAGAGCACTGTTTACTTACAAAAGTTTAAAAAAAATTTTTTTTCAGCAAATAAAGTGGCTAAATAAGTGGCTCATTCTTGAGTGAATTTAAAAAATTAACTGCATATACATATGCTTGCTTTGGGAATCAAAATACATTAATTTACATTTTATAGTTCACTGCTACCATATAGTAAACCTAAGTTAAGATGCACCTCAATTGGGTAGCTAATTCAAATAATCAAGTTAGTGACCCTGAGAAGGGTGTAAATCAGTGCTTCTCAAGCTGTGGCCCACCGGCTGTTTGCGGCCCAATCAGCACACAGCTGCGGCCCATGTGACATCCGCAGGACCATATAGGTAGTATGTATATTGTGTGGATGCAGCCCACATAACACATGGAGAGCTGCATATGTGATCCACAATGGTAAATAGGTTGAGAACTACTGGTGTAAATCACTTTAATTAGGCAGAATTATTTTGTCTAGTGCCTAAAGAGAGTGTGAGTGTGTGTGTGTGTGTGTTACTTTCATTCAAGTTCTTTGTGATTTTAGTTAACCAAGGTAATTGTAATCAGAAGTGTAAAACTAGGGCCTGTCTATGTAGTCCCTCAAAAGTATTCTGCGCTATAAGCTGGCATGGTTAGTGGTCAGGTAACTGGTCCCTGTCATTAAAGGGTTTACGGTGTTAGATGTGACAGATAGGGAATGATATTAGACAAGCAATAGTTCTAAAAACTTTAGCCATACCCAGTATAAGGCTGTAAGATTACTACTTTACTTGCCTAGTATTCCATTTTATTTATTGGCTTAGTGATTTTTTTTTTTTCCAGACGGTTAGGAACAAAACATTTCCCATGAAGACATTTGAAAACAAGTTTTCATTGAAATGTTCTCAGTAAATCTCCTGGTTTTCATCAAAAAACTGACTAACTTGAGTTTTCAGTTTTTTGATGTAAACCCCAAAAATGTCATTAATTGGACATGTCCTGTGGGCATTTTTTTGGCAAACCATTTGTCAAAAGTTTCAAATGAGAAATTTTGACCAGCTGCAGATGTTTGATTTATATCTTGCTTTACATCATAGTTTGTGCTGCTTAAACTGTATTTACTGCAGAAAATAGCATCAGCATTAGCATGCTAATCAACTGGGCCTTGAAGAAGGCTGGATTGTATTTGGAGTCAAAGTGGTCATTTCAGGTGCAGTGAACAGAGCACACATCATAATGGTGAGAGGAGCTGATAGAGTAATGGGCTTAGTGTTGTGTGATGGGCAGAGAGACCATACATGTAGGCAGGATCAGAGCTGAACAGGACATTGAATTTGAGTTGACGGGATTGAGCCATATCTCATGTAAGAAAACTCCAAGGAATGAAGGACTCTGGGAGGAGAGTAGTGCTTGCTGCTCTAGCTACAACTAATGTTAAATGATTTTAGCAGCTATGTTTTGAGTACAGTGTAGTGGTGAGATCCAGGTAGGCACCAGAGAAGGGTGGTGTGATAGTCCAGGTAGAGATTAACAGAGAATGGACATGTGTTTTTGCAATAGGGATGCAAAGGAGAAGGAGATTCTGAGATGTTAAAGGTTAGTTTTTAAAGTATAAAGTTCGTTGGATTTGATTTGGTAGGTAAGTTTAGGATTGGAAATAGGCATTACATTTTTACAAGGTAAGACCTAATGGGTCATTTTAACTTAAGGGTATGTCTGCACTGGATCTGAAGGTGTAATTTCTAGCTTAGGTAGACCTACACAAGCTAGCTTCCATCTCCAGCATCATTTCCAGGATACTGACAGATTCTGAGGATGGTATTTTCTTTCATTATCCCTTAATAATGATCAAAAGAAGAATTTGTGAAAATGCTTTTACAAACTTGTTAAATTGGTTCTGAAGTGGAATTTGACAGTTAACTTAACGTGCGAATTCACATCAGCAAGTCCATGCCTGTGTCAGTCACTGTGCAGGTGGCAAACACCAAGATGCAAAATTAATTGAGTTTTACATGAGAACCCCTCAAGCAGGACCATATGCAGAAAGGCTATAATAATGTAATAATAATTCATAACCACTGAAAATTTTACATTGAACTAATGCTATCCAAAAGTTCAGAAGAGATGGGGGAGCAGCGGGAAATCTCAAAATTAATATAATCTTGTATTTTAGTCTTTGTAGGTTGACTGTAAACAAATCTAAAAGACCCCTTTATGACTTCCTGTGACTGACTTTTGTGGGCTGCCTTGCAAATCTGTATAGTTCATCAAGGTGGTTGGTTGGAAATGGGCAGGACTTTCAGTAAAGACAAGTTCTTCGTGTATGTCAGTGTGAAACATGCTGTAGGTGCACATGAGCCTCAAATGCATGAGACTGGATTTTTTTGGTTAGCAATGTCCATCGAAGCCACACGTGCCCTGTTCCACCTTGTGCTCCTATAGAAGGGCACAGAGGGCGTTCCTCTTACCACCCATTGCAGCAAGATGGAACCTAGCTGCTCTCTAACCTGCTAGATTTTACCTTAGGCTACATTTCTCCAGATTCTTCTGAGAAACTTTAGAACAACCTTTATTTTAATTTAGTCACCTTAGCCTGTTCAAGCACTTGTTGGACTGCAAGTTGCTAATCAGATTTCCCTGTAAATCCTCTCTGAACAGGGATTTAGAAATGGCAGACTTCAAATTCTCCTTCCTCATCCCTCTTCAGGGACTCTTCTCACAAGAGCCTATTGCAAATGGAATTGGCCTTATTGCTTTGTCTAGTAGCCACAGAGGAGGTCTCCCAGGAATACAGTGAAGAGTCTTCTACTGATATTTCTTCATAATGAATAAAAATGGGGGCCAGAGGGAATCTTTGTTCTTTCTTAGGTCTGAAGAGACTGCACAAAGATATATATTCTGTCTCAGGTTCAGGACGGTAATACTTGTGTCCATTATTCCAAAACCACGAATCATTCATGGCTCCTCATCCATCTGGCCCATAGGAAACACCAAGCTTCACAGTGGGACCCAACCGCTATCAAAACAGGGTTCTGCCCTTGAGATGCTCAACAGCACTAAGTTTTCACCAACTAACGACAAATCTAATGAAACTGAATCCACACCTACCAATATCTAGACTGGCAGATCAGAGGGAAGTCCTAGGAGAAGACTGAAATGCCCCCAGATATCATGTCTTCTCTGTTTTTTCCTGTTTTAGGACTCATGGTGATCTATGAGAAGTCTATCATCTGCAGTGATGTGAGATGGAGTCTCCTCCTATTGGCAGAGGCAGTTTTGGTTTTCTGATCTCCTGCAGATGTGCTGTCAGTTTCCCCTACACCTTCCCACCTGTCTAGACCTACTATTGCAAAACTAGGGTCAAAATTACATCCAGGCCCTCAGACATTTTACCTGACAGGCTGGATGAGCAAGACTGACCGGTTCAGATGATTTTTTTTTACAAAGTTGGAAAGCTTCCACCAGAGACTTACCCCTGAAAGAGGAAAAGATTTTTCCGAATAGGCAGCCTGAAACAAAGTGAGCACAGTGGAGACCCTGATGATAAAGATTCTGGACAACATACTGCTGCTGAAGAAAGCAGGCCTAGCCTTTGTACTCTTAAAGTCCAACTGGCAGTGTGCAATGTCCTGATACTGTCATAGTCTGTTTTTTCACATCCTGTGTTATCAAAATTCCTCCGGGGCCTTCATGTCTGCCTTCTGATTAGAGACCAAAGTCTCATGTGGAATCTCAAGGTTGTCACCTTAGAGCTCATGTAGGTTCCCTTTGAACCCTTATCAGGATGCTCATTGTACCACCCCACATTCAACTGTCTGAATCATAGCTATCATATCAGCATGGAGAGTCAGTGAAATGCAGGCCCTTGTGGCTGAACTGCCATACATATCGTTCCAGAGGTACAAGGAAGTGACGAAACCTCACCCTAAGTCTCCGAATTCCCTTTGAACTGTTTTATTACCTTACCAGTTATCTTATTGAAGCTACATTCCTCGGTGGGGGGGTGGGAAGAAGCTTCATATACTGGATATGTCCAGGGCCCTGCTTTATTATCTCAACAGAACCAAGCCTTTGAGATTCTCTCCCCGCCTCCTCATGGCCATATCTGGCACATCAAAAGGCAAAACCATCTCTTCATAGCGAATCTCAAAATGGTTCATACATTGTATTTTCACCTGCTATCAGTTGGCTGGGAAACCTCTCCCTCTGAATGTCAAGACACTCCACCAAGGCATACTTCAACACTTTCTGCCTTCTACAGAGTGAGCTGATCTTTTGTGGTCAGTAAGGTAGCCACGTGGAGCCAAACTACTGACCTTTGTTGAGCATTATGCACTTGATATGGCTGTAATGGAAGATGCTAGTTTGGAAGAATGGTACTCCAGTCGGTTTGACTGATACAACTTAGACTTCATACCCACCATCTGGGAAGGGTACTTCTTGCCAGTGATCTAGAGTGAGATCCACATTGACAGGTACTTGAAAAAAGAATGGTTACTTTACCTCACAATAACTGTGCTTCTCTGAGATGTTGTAGTCAATGGGGGTCTCATAACTCACCTCGATCCCCACTTCTCAAAGTCCTCAGCTACATGGGCTTTGAATTGTGAGGAAACTAAGAGGATTGTGGCCACTCCACCCTTTATTCCCTGATATGGGAGCACAGAGTATATGCAGCCTGGATAGATGCTGCTGCTATAAATAAATAAATTTGGTCTTGCTGAAGCGCATGGGATCCACACTGACTAAAATATCTTAATGAAGCATCGTTACTGTAGAGTAAGTAATAGCTTTTTTTGTTCTGATTTAGAAATTTAATCAGGATTGAATATGGTAGTGTTGCCTTGACCTACAGTATACCATGAGACCGACAACACCATAAATGCTGGGTGGTTCAGTGTTTGAGACCTGAAAGACTTGCCAGTAAGAAATCTGAGGGTAAACTGCATGTGAAAGAATTCATAATACACACTTTTCTAGCACAATATGTTCTGTTTTAACTGGGTTTTAGTCAAGGCAGAAAATCCTCATCCTTTTAAAATAACATTACCAAACTCATTCATTAGCCCGTTTGTTTATAAGCCGACCCCCCAAAATGGATAGGTAAAAATAGCAAAAACTGTATGACCCTTTCATAAGCCGACCCTATATTTCAGAGGTTGGAAAACTTTGGCTCCCAGCCTGTCAGGGGCCAATAGGAGCTGCGGGAAGTGGCGCATCATTGGTTGGGAACGGCGAACCACGGCCACGGGGAGCTGAGGGGCTCCATGCCTGCAGACGCTCCAGGTAAACAAAACTGCAATGTATTATATCAGGGATCGGCAATGTTTGGCACACAGCACGCCAGGCTAAGCAACCTTGTGGGCCAGGCCGGTTTGTTTACCTGCCGCGTCCACAGGTTCTGCCGATCGCGGCTCCTACTGGCTGTGGTTCGCCGCTCCAGGCCAATGGGAGTGGCGGGAAACGTCACAGGCCAAGGGATGTGCTGGCTGCTGCTTTCTGCCACTCCCATTGGCCTGGAGCGGTGAACTGCGGCCAGTGGGAGCTGCGATTGGCCAAACCTGCAGACACGGCAGGTAGACAAACCGGCCCGGCCTGCCAGGGCGCTTACCCTGGCGGCCCGTGTGCCAAAGGTTGCCAATCCTTGTATTAGATATTCAATTCAATGATTCCATAGAGTTTAAAATCATCAAATTTTGGTGTAGACCCATTTATAAGCCGACCCCCCGCTCTTTGATGCATCACTTTTTTTACCAAAAATATTTGGCTTATGAACTATATACGATAATATTTTAAAAGGTTTTAAGTCTCTTCCAGTTTTAATTTTGATACAGTGTGTATAATTAAAATGGGAGAAGGGATTTATAGTGTTTGCTTAGGTGCCTGTTAATCTGGAGAAATGTCATCAAGGTTGCCTGAAAGTACATTGCTTTCAGAATAAATGTTGAAGTGCTGCACATGTGAATAAAAGGTGTTATTAGTCCATTTTCCTAAGCATGGTAGTAAATGAAGTTTTGGGGTTCTATATTTCTTCTAGTCTCCCTGCTGCATTTTTTCTTAACTGCCAGCTCTGTAAGCTCAACTTGGGATCTGAAAGTCAAGCTGGGTCCTCTTTCATTCACAGATCAAGAAAGATTCTGTAAGCAGAACATGACCATTTGAATGATGTGACGCTGTTTGGAATCTGCTTATCTTCTCATAGATATATTGGCTGTACTGTGCTGATGGAAGTAAAATAAATGTAGCTTTTGAAGTGAGCAGAGTCTAGATCACACATAGACCAGGTCTATTGAATAAGGTGCCACTTTCACATAAATTCATTTATGCAGTCAACTACCCACCATGTTGCAACTGTTACCACATAGATAGAATTCAGTTTTCAAAAGTAATTCAGTGAAACTATGTAGTGGTTGGAGAGAGAACAAATTCTGACTTTCTCCTGTAGCAATTCCAGTTTAAACAGGTAGAAAATTCTCTTTGTGACTGGTAAGGAGTCATTGAAAACAAACATCTGAAATTTGTGGATAAGTGGCTGCAACTTTATTCAACAGTGCACTAAGGCAAGATAACTCGGAGGATAATTTCTGAGGGCAGCATTACTGATAGTAAAGATAGAACAGGTACATGATCACCTTTGACCACAGGATCAAAGATAGAACAGGTCATCTTCAATGGCTTCCTCATGTAGGATCACTTCCAGAGCCTTTCAAAATTTCCAGATCATGACCAATCCACTTAACCAAAATCCATATGAGTAGTCCTATTCTACAGCCTGCCAGGTCAAGTCTTAGTGCCACTGAGCTCTGTAAAAGTGTTTGGGAATCCCTGCAGGTCTAATTCTACCTCCTGGATGGAGAGGGCAGAAACACAGTACTTAGTAGATATCAATGGTTTGCTGTCAAATTGGTAGGATGTCTAGTGGGATCGCACAGGGGTCTGCCCTGGGTCTGGAATTAGTCAATATTTTCATTAATGACTTGGATAATGGGGGGGGAGGGTGTATGTTTATTAAATTTGAGGGTGACACCAAGCTGTGAGGGATTGTTAAAACTTTAGAGGACAGGTTTAGAATTCAAAATCTTAGCATTGTTCGGAAATCAACGTGATGAAATTCAATAGACAAGTGCAAAGTACTGCACTTAGGAAGGAAAAATCAGATGGACTACTACAAAATGGGGAATAACTGGTAGGTGGTAGTACTACTGAAAATTGGGTTATAGTGGATCACAAATTGAATACAAGTTGTCAGTGATAGGTCAGGTTTTTCTAAACCTTTTATGAGGAAGGGTTAAACTGGGTATGTTCAGTCTTGAGAAAAGACCGTGATGGGACCTGATAAGCCTTCAGATATGTTAATGGCTTTTATAAACAGGACTTGATCTGTTGTTCTGTCTGTTGAAGGTAGGATAATTGGTTTAATCTGCAGCTAGGGAAGTTTAGGTTTGATATTGGGAAAAACTTAACTATAAGGTTAGTTAAATGCTGGATTATGTTATGAAGGGAGGTTGTGGAATCCCCATCATAGGAGATTTTAAAGAACAGGTTGGACAAAGACCCGTCAGGGATGGTCTAGGTATACTTAGTCCTGCCTTAGTTCAGGGCCATAGGCTAGATTACCTCTTAAGATCCCCTCTAGCCCTACATTTCTGTGATTCTATGTAATGTCCAAGAGCCATACCAACACCCAACCCTGCCCAAAATTTAGCCCAATTAGGTCCACACAGATCCTCTTAAAATATTAATATGAGCCATTCTCTGTTACTTGTAAATCATATTAGTGAAACAACCAACAGAACACACCGTAGGGAAGGGAGGAGAGATTTAACATGATTCAGGAGAAGCAGGAAGCTTCCTCTTTGCAGAGCTCTGTAATGCATGTGACTACCAATTTGGTGCCTGTGACAGGAATTGTCAAATGCCCTCTCCCTCCCCCTCCCTCTCCCTGCACCCTGGCCAACAGGCTGCCTTCATTGCTGTCAACCCCCCAGCAGTGTCTTAAAGATATGTAAGTAATTCAATTGAATTACATGCATTCTTTGAGTATTTCAAACTTGGACAGCAGAGAGAGGCTCCCCAACTAATTGTGTGCGTGCAAATTCTGCACAATAGTTTGAAAACTAATTTGTGTACTCTCATTTGCTTTTAAAAGCTGTAAAGCATAACCCCAAAGAGTGTAGATTGTTTGTAATAAGTTTACAATTACAAAGAGCAGTAATACACATGCACTTAAAGTTAATGACTTGTGTATCTGTCACATACAAAATGCACCGATTAAAAACTCCTTTCTGCTAGATTTGATAGTGGCTTTATAAACTACAGGTATTCTTATAAAAATTCCAGTCTCTTAATGTTAGATGCTGCCAGTAGGTGCCATTAAGTCAAGCTATTCAGAATATAGCTAAGGGGAACAAAGTACAGTTTACTGTTACACCAGTTGTGTGTTAGAGAGAAGTTGGGTGAGATCTTTTATTGGACCAACTTGTGTTGTTGACAGAGACAAACTTTCGAGCTTACACGGTACTCTTCAGATCATGAAGAGCTCTATGTAAGCTCGAAGCTCATCTCTGTCACAAATTCATGTTGGTCCAATAAAAGATATTTCCTCACCCAACTTGTGTCTCTAATATCCTGGGACCAACATGGCTACAAACACACTGCTTGTGTATATATATAAACTTTAAGTATGTTCTGCAGCAAAATGCAAAGGTTTGAGATAAAATGTGGACATTGCAAATGGAATTCATAACTGACCTATACTCTGTAGACAGTTTTTGATTTTTTTTTTTAAATTTCAAAGTGTGTAAATTGGAGGCTGAGTTACTTGGCACCATAGTGTTACCACATGAGAGTTAGATAGCAATCATTATAACACAATGAAAACTTTCTAACTTGTGTAACTTTACCTTTAGTAGCTTATTTTTTCTATAAAAAGTTATAGAAATATATCACATTACTACATTTTGCTCAAGTCAGTTTTCATGTGCTTGGATTACTTGTATGTGAAAAGGTAACAAAGAATACTATCTTATTTTCTATTTTATAAAGCCAATGCACATGCTTAATTAAAAGAATATAGTGCTAGATGAATGTGTGTGCTTTGTCCTCTCCGTTTTGAAATAGAGCAGAACAGTGTTCACCAGAAAGTTAGAAATGTTATTAATCACTTAAAAGAAAACAGAATAAGCCCCAGCTCTGTCTTCAAATAGATGAAATGCATAAATGCTAGATCTATAGAAAATTTCATGCATGCAATTGAGAACTGTGTTTAGCATAGCATAAGTGGAAGTCTTTTCAGAATACTTGGCAGGAGTTAAATTCTTGCGCCACTTTCTGAAGTCAAAAGTGGGCATAAAATGTACTTTGACCAACAATCTCAACCCCTATACAGGGAGCAGGGAACTGGATATCTAGCAATCTCTTTTCTAGTGCCACTCCTGCTTTCTTCCTCCCCTAACCCATAAATTCTTCTAAATAGCTAATTGTTTCTATAACACTCAGCTTGGCAGCAAAAGTCAGTCATTCAAACACATAAGAGTTCCATGTTTTTTTTTGTACTGTCCAAAGGCTGTGTTTAACATCCAGTAAGAACTAGTGACCCCTTGTGTTGCGCATCTAAAGGTCTTTTTTGGTTCTCCCATACCTGCACTGCCATGTGCCAGCCTCTTCAACATCTGCAATGTTAGATCAATTTCTTTTCTCAGGGTAATAGTTCTTGTCCTCTATGCAATCTCTACCATTGCTTTCAAATACCTTAAATAAGGCAAAGTTTAATTGGCATAATAGAAAATGTATGAATATCTTCATAAAAACATAACCAAGCAAAAATTGTGAAATTTATAGGTAGCATCCAATAGATTATTCTTGTATACAAGATATGTACTGAACATACCAACCATATTTTGAGGCCCGTTTTCAGCTCCTAAACAGACATGATCGTGTACAGGTATAGTCATAATCAGACTGAGAAAGAAAGGTAATATTAGTGGCTGGAGGGGAACTGCATGTGTTGGAGAGGATGGAAAGAGGAGTTTGCAATATAATCATGATGGGAGATGATATAAGGGCTTGTCTATGTAGTGCAGCAATGCACGCTGCGGGGATGGGATTTC